ACTCAACATCTCTGTTACTTGCGCCGCTGAAATATAATCCTCTTCTACCTCAACATCCTCATTCGCATCTGATTTATTAGCTCTTTTCCCTCTTGGAGGCATTTTAATAGTTGTAGAATTTGTTCAAAGAATTGAAAATGTAGAAGATGTGAAAAATCGTAGAACAGACAAGAGGAGCAGTAAAGACATCTGCTCTCGCTTGCAACCCGGAAATTCAATGATTAATTAATGATTAATCACAACATTTCTTTTGTCACCTCTATGTGCCATCAATAAGACATACAGTATATGTTATATCTTTTGGCTGAGAGGAGAGCATCAGTGGCCTTTGTTGATATTGCTTGTTTTGAAGGTTTGTTTTTTTTAAGGTATCCAACATTAAAATCTTCACCAATGGAATTTTTAAATTAAGGCCACTTACATTAAGGCCAGGTAATTCTTTTCAAGCACAGTGAAAGCTGCAGAAATCCTGATTTGGAGGAGTTAATGTGCTGCCATGGCAGCAGTAGTCTTCATATAAGTTTATATATATATCCACTAACTGGCACAGAATACCTTTCTAACACATTCCTGACAAATAGAATTGTTACAGACTTCCAGTAGTTTTTGGGTCCAGGGATTGGTGAGCCAAGCGGCACTTTACAGGAGTGTAGCAAGCAGACTGAGGGATATAAAGAGCAACACATACATTTAACTTTTCTATTAAAGTGTGAAATGGGGAATTTATAGAAAAGGACAGGCGGATTTATCCTTTCCATGCTTGTAAATGCTGAGCATGCAATTACCCCTATAATAGAGGCGTTGTGTCCAAATTGGAACCATTAAAGTGATTTAACAGTGCGTGGATTGGTCCTGGCATTTGCGAGGATGTGTACACATGGGGTGTAGTAGAATGGGTGTTTAATCACAGCTTTTTAGAGTCCAGTAATAGCAGAGCAAACCATGTAGAACACTGGCATACCACACAGTCCAGCTTACTCATTAGGTACTGTAGTTTGGACTGGACTCCACCCTCTGTTAGGATAGGTTTGGGTTTTTGTTTGTCTGTTTTAGATTGGAAATGGTTTGTTTCATTGGCCTTGTTATTGTTAATGGGGCTAATACAGAACAACCACCAGAGTGTCTGTTTTCTCATGATGCATTTGCAAACAACTGTGCACTGTTAAATTCAAGTTAATATGATTTTTACCATGCAACACATTTTTAGAATGACATTCAGATTGAAAAAATGTCATTACAGAATAATGGAGTAGTGCACTGGACACTGTCCCTAACGGTAATTTTGCTGTAGTTTGTAGCTGAATCAGAGATGAAGACTTGAGCTTGCGACTTGAACTCGGGTCACACTTAGCTGCACACAGTCTCTTTTGAGACTCGTACTCAAAAGACTTGAAACTCGACTTGGACTTGCGAACAATCTTTTTTTTTTACTTCTTTTTTTGCACGTTGACGCTAAGGAAATAAGTGCCCCTAGAGCTGAATGTCATTCCCTCTCCTATTATCATGTATAACTTTACACATGCATGGTGCACGCTGCCACAGATGACTAAGTTGCAGCAACAAAACCATGACTATGGCGAGCACACCTGCAGCTGCTTTTCCATTTTATCAGGCATCTCAAAATGCAGCAGATAAAGTAGGTTAAGCCAGTCACTTGGTAATGTGAAAGACAAGTTAAAGTTGGTACCGACCGTGAGCAAACATGTTAGCTCAGCTATCTGACATCATCTTGTTACTAGCTTTGTAGCTAAGGACTTTAACTTATTCGATTGGCGTTCACTGCATGTTTTTGAAAAGATGAGTCGTTTTGCTTACCACGCTTGTTCACATAAAGTGGTGGCTTTGCCATGACTATGGAAATAACTGGATAATTAATCACCCATGTTCCTCTGCGACCATCTGCTGGATAACGTTAAACTGAGAGACCACGTTGATTGTTAACACTGGTTACAGGTTTACCATGTAATGTTACAGGCTTACTATTATGCTGATTTTGAGAGGCTACTATAAATTAACATCTCTGTAAAGTATAAGCTGAATTAGTTGGAGACCCAGTGTAATAACACAGTAGGTTGTACACTTGCCTTTTATCGAAAAATAGGTTAGTTGCTATTGCATGCCTATAATGTTAGCAATATTTTCCGGTTGCCCTGAGTAGTCATCAGATATCCATTTTTAGAAACCACATACCAAACACTAGCAACTAATCAGTGTTGATACTGCTAATAGATAATGGAGTGATTGACTTCCTTGATTATAGAAATGCAGTGTTCTATGCAGTGTGGACGGCATGTAGCAGATGATAGGACACTCATTACAACCAGGGACTTGAGATTTGACTGGAACTGGCAAAAAATGACTTGTGAGCATCTGTGGGCTGAATGATATTTGCCTTGTGGTTTAGCATTTGCAAGGGTTTGGTAATGGGACACACTTTGGAAACTGTCATTCATGACAAGACAGGTGTTTGGATTTTTTTTTTGTTTGTTTGTTTGTTTATAATTTTTAGGGCTGCACTTGCTGCTGATTGTTGCTGTTTCTTGTTAAAATGACAAGCAGCGGGGTCATACCAGCTGTTCCTAACTAACCTTAACTCCATGAATTAAATTGACAAAAAGGACAAAATGAAAGCGGCTGCTGTCGGGTTTGTGACCTCATTGCAGCTGGTGGACAAACAGACAACACACAGTGTCTGCTGTTAGAAGATTGTTCATGATGTAAAGAGGCATCACTGAATAATCAGAGTGAACTGAGTGTTTCTGTAGTTCCGACAAACTCGGGTAAAATTATTAGTCAGTCTCACATCAATGATGGATATTAGTCGCTTTTTACATCTAGCTTTCCATTGTTTTCATTGTGACCACTGAACAGTAATATTACATTACATTTTAAAAGTCAGCAACCACTGAAATGTCCCAATTATATACATCTGCAGGGTCCGACTATATGATGCAACGTAAAAATACTGTTTTATAGTTTGGTGGACAGCGGTTCCCCTGCACAGGATTATGCCAACCATTAACCATCTACTACAAGAATCCATTAAATCTTACCCCAGGTTTTCTTAGATGTTTGGTTTATAGATGTTTTTGCGGCATTATTTATAACTGAAATGTATTGACAGATATTATCCTAAATGATATTTATTCTGAACTAGACTTGATCGGCATTGGAAAAAATGTGTGCTTTTCAAAATTTCCAACTTGCTTCTTTTAGGTTTTGCATTGAATTTCTAGGGAGAACATAAATAATCTTCCTTTTGATAAACAGTCCTTCCATTTCCACTTTTTTTCCCCCACTCCTCAACCTCTTTACTACAAGCAAATGGCATTTAATGCATCTTCTGCATCCTCAAAGACATCTCCTGGAAGAAAGGAATTTTTTTTTCAACATACTTTGAAATGCATAACAACCTTTCACTCTCTCTTCCACTGCTTCTTTTTTGCCCTCCTGCTTTCCTCCTCCTCCACCCCCTTTTGCCCCTGTCTGTGCTCTGTGCGCGCTGGAGTGGAGCCTCTGTACAGGCGTGGCATCCTGGGGAGAACTAGTAAAGCATTTATTATGGGCTTTGCAGACCTGTATTATACTGGCAAGCACAGAGCCACTCATGCTTGGCCTTTAACTTCCCTCTGACGTTCAGCCATACATGAAAAGAGGGGACTCTGGCCCACTAATATATTCCTGATTTACTATTGTATCAGAAAAAGTAAGACAGGCGAATTATTGTGGGGGGGGGGATTTTGCTAAAAAATATAAATTGAATCCTTGCGAGTTTTTTCCATGCCTATTCACTGGTAGTTTGCTGATTAAATATTGCATGGTAACATTGGGAATGTCCAGGGGAGCTTTTGAACCCTGAATCTGTGGAGAATTCTTTGAGGCTTTGTGCGTGGGCTGTCTACCATAACTTCCTCTCAAGTAACAATATCGGGATGAGCAGACAGAAAGCGAGGCTACTTTCTCACCATTACGTTCATTCACTCGTCGACTGCCTCGATCAGCCTTGTTCAGAGTTTAGTGGAAAATCTGTGTCTCTATAAAAGAGGACAATAGCGAAGCGAATTAGCCCAACGCTCCATCCATAAATTTTTTTTTCCTCCCATTTTTTTTCAGCCCTCGAAAGATCTCCCCCTATTTCTCATCACTCTTCTTAAATCGCATCCTTATTGGCGGGTCGTACTTTTTAGGTCAGGTTTTTTTCTGTGTGTGTTTGGGGACATTTATGGGGTGTTTTATTGGTTTGTTCACCATATGGAGGGGGACAATGGGCAGGACATCGGGCACACCCTAATTTCGGATTTCTCTTTTCTTCCGCCTCTTCTCTCTTTGGGGTGTGTTTGTCCACTGTGTGTGTCCTGGTTGAAGGCGAGACCCTCCTCCACAGAGCTTGCAAGAGGAACCAAGTGGAAACAGTGCTTCAGATTCTGGCGCTTCCTGGCACTGATGTCAATGTTAAAGGTAAGATTTTTTCGCTTTCCCTTTCTCTGTAAGCTCTGTCTCCGCGTCATCTCACTTCACTCACTGCACTAGGGTTTCGAGGAGCGATTAACACTGGGGGGGAAAAAAAGAGGAGAGAGGGAATAGGTGTGTGTGTGCGCGCGTCATCACTGAGTTTAACCTTTAGCTAAAATGTAAAGGGTGTGTCTATGAAGAGCAGGATGGCTTTGGAGGCTTAGATTTATACATTTACAGTCACCTTGCTAAGTGAATTGAATGTCCTGATGTTTCCAAGTGACTCTTTTTTTTTCCCCCTTTAGATCAAATATAATGACCTTTTATGGAAACGTTTTGCTCTGTTAAAGGTGATTCCAATTTTGTAATCATTGTTTAAAAGCACCTTAAATTAACTTGCAACTCAGTAAGGTGATTACCCAAGATGTGATGTCCAAAATGTGATCAGACAGAACTATAAGCTAAATGGTAAAATTACCGTGTCAACTTGCAGTTGCCTCCCAAAACAAGGCTGTGTTAATTGTGACACATTATCAATTGGAGTCCTTTCATGTCAGAAAACACAGGTCTACATTACAAAGTTCTTCAAGTAGGCAAATTTGTGTTTCTTAAGACTTCTCTAGTCATGACTGATTTTTGGGAAGAACTTTGTAAAACATGAAAAGATGGGCTAAACAATTTTAATATGTTTTTGTTTTGTAGAATTGTGTGTGATGTACATGAAGGACCGTTAATAGTCTATTCATAACATGCAAAATACTTTTAAACAATGTAAAAGCACATTGAATATATATCTAAACATCTTTAGCACCCTTTTTCATCATATTAATGTCTTTTTTCTTATGGCAATGAATTTTAAAAGTTTGCTATGCTAACTATGGCATTCTGCATGTGGCCTGCTTCACTTACAGGATAAGTATTAATCTCTTTGCCAGAGATATTTCAACATTTTGGTACAAAACCTGGAACAAATGTTGTTGTTATGTGAAAAGTAACACCCAAATCTCTTTAAGTCTTTAATATTTAATCCTGACACTCCAGTGAAACCTTAAAATTGTCCAGTATCATACATTGGGAGATGTACATATCCATTGTACTGCTTGATGGCCAATTTCTTTATGAAACATTACATTCATCTTTAAAAACAAAAGATACCAGTTGATTGTATGTTTTTCTTCAGATGATTTAAAGTTCCTGCTAAGCAGTGTGTTTGCGTTTGTGTGTGGTTTGTTGACCATGTAGACCATGCAGGCTGGACACCTCTGCACGAAGCGTGTAATCATGGCAGCACTGCATGTGTGGAGGCTTTGCTACGTCATCATCCCACCCCTGTACTTAATAGCCAGGTGGGTGGAGTCAGTCCATTACATGACGCCCTGATCAATGGATACATGGACATCGCCAAAATGTTACTGGAGCGTGCAGGTGAGCAACCCTCACCAATACACTCAGAGACTCAGTGAGCTGACAAAGTATAACAGACTACTGGTTTTAGAAGATGGATCTAATACTGACTAAAATGAATAAACTCAAACTTTATGCTTTATTTGGTCAGTACCTTTACTCAGGCAGATATAATTAAAAGTGCTACTCTGATTGCATGTTACATGTTCACATTTCTTCTTATATGTCCTTTTTGTAATATACCTTCCTTGAAATGATTCATTAAACCAAATGGTTCCTGTCACACTGATGGAATTACATAATGTTGAAATAAAACACCTTTAACTTGCCTGGCCACCTGGCTGCCAAGTAGGTTAATATGTAGAATTAGCCATTTAGCTAGTGATCTACTGCAGTGGTGGGCTATGTGTTACTGCTGCTGTAGCCAAGACAAGCTTTCAGTTTAAATGTAACCAGCAAAAGCAGTGGTGCTTACTGAAAGATTGAATGCTGCTTTCCACCTTATTAGCAGGGCTGGTTTTGTCTTAACTAGCCTCTGGTAAAGTGAAGGACCTGCTGGGGCTTTTAAAGGGGCACTCTACTGATTTTACACATCAAGTTTAGTTTTTTTTTTTTTTTCCCTTTCTTCTGTGGCTCTGGAGCAAGCTTTTGAAAGTCTGAAAAACAGCCCCTCTAATGCTACCAAGGTTAGAAACTGGAGTGTGGAGTTTCAGAAACATGGGTATATACTCATCATGGAAGGTGCGTTCCTTTATGGAACATGTAGTTTTTTTTTTTTTTTCCTTTCTTCTGTGGCTCTGGAGCAAGCTTTTGAAAGTCTGAAAAACAGCCCCTCTAATGCTACCAAGGTTAGAAACTGGAGTGTGGAGTTTCAGAAACATGGGTATATACTCATCATGGAAGGTGCGTTCCTTTATGGAACATGTAGGATCAAGGGTTTTGGGGGCTTGATCTATACTTAAGTGACAGCTAAGGGTATTTTTATTGGTACTATTGTCCTAAAAGTCATTAGGGAGGATAAGACAGAATGTGATGTTTGCAGAAAAGCTACAAATGACAAATGTATTAGTCTTAGAATTGGTATATATAGTTACCTATAGAATTACAGGCTGCAGTACACTGTGCCCAAGACAAACAGAATCTGTAATGGATCCCAGAGGCCATAGAAGTTGTCTGCTTTTCCACTGTATTAATTCTAGATCATCTACTATATCATCTCTCCCTCTGCCCCCACCGCTTGTTCATAATCCTGCACTGCAGTGTCTGTCCAAACAGATTTCAGCATCACCTCATAATATGTTTGTAAATGTCTTTTTGATGTGATTAGAGGAGTCAGGATCAGCCACTTGAAAAATTCACATGTAGGTTTTTGTTGAAATGTGTCACAACACACCTAGTATGGTGTTTGCATGCCACACACAGTCTGAGCTCAGGCGGGTTGAAGTGATCGTGACGGGTGCTGGAACTTAGGAGAGGGTGATGTGTAGAGGAAGTGTGTGTTTGGGGAGGGGGGCCATTTGCCAGCATTGAACAAGTCTCCCATGTAACATACCTCTGCCTCTGCTCACTTCTCAGTTTGACTAATTATAGTTAATTTGATTCGACTTTCCCATTAACACGTGTACATATTCTGTCCTCAAAAATAAATTAGTCTGGGATTGTTTAGTCCCACAGAGGAAACAAGAGAACACTCCTTTTTTTTTTCTACAATCCTCAGTAACAGAAGGGAAAGCAAATTAAAAGAGGTCAGAGAGGAAGAAGCAGTTATCTGTATCAGTAAAATTAGAAGAGGAAAAAGAGAGAATGTATACTGTGCACACGTGCGCGTGCAGCAGAAGTCTGGCCTGCTGTCTAGGCCAGGTCTCTGCACAGGGACCGAAGAGAACAACAGGAATGAGAATAGTCCCAATTTGAAACACCTGCAGGCTTGTACCATCATACTTCTTTTTCTCACTTCCTCTCTCCTGACTGTTTGCTGTTTCCTCACACCTTGATGGCGGCTTGTCTAAAGGCTACAGCAGGGAGCTGGTGAGGAGGTGGTCCTCTTGACTCCAGGCCATGCTGTTTCTCTTGGTCTCTTTTCCATGATCTCTATCTAGTTGCCATGGACACCATCGATATGCCCAGGCTTTTCCCCCCGCCATTCCTTTTTAGATCTTTAAGACCAGGCTGTTAATATGGAAAGTTTTGGCTTTGGGGGCTACATCATGCTTAGTTAGTCTAACCATTTTTCCATTCCAGCCCTGCTTCAGTGTAGAAAAAAAAAATTCTATACTCAGGCAGGACTTTTGTGCTTGTGGCTGCATTTCTAAAAACCCATATATCAGACTACTTTTTAAATTTTAGCCAGAGAGACTCTCTGTACCTTCCCATGATAGGAAAGCAGGCTAGTGGGCCAGGAGCACTTCCATTCCTCTCTCACTTTATTTATTATATTCCAGTGTTTCTTTGTCCGAGTGCCTGCCTCATCTCCTGAAACTATATTTTTCATTGAGGCATTCACTCTCTTGTCCTAGTTGTTTCCAACAGACAGGCTCAGCCTAGCTGCCAAGGTTTTGGTGGGCCAGAGAGTGCAACACTGACACTGGCACACCAACAAAGTCTTTATATGGGAGTGATCTCACCCTTTTATAAGCCTGTCTGCTTGGAGGCCTGTGCTATATGTGTGTGTGTGTGTGTGTGTGTGTGTGTGCTTGCATTTTTAGGGGTGAATTGTAGGGAGGATAAATGGATTGATCCCACCCCCCTACCCCATATACCTCATATCCCTCCAGGGTTATGGAGCTGGCAGTGAAGCGATGCCATGGCCAAGGGCAAGGCTGACTCTGCTCTCCTCCCATTGCCCAAGGCTGCCTCACATGACCCTGTGTATAAATGTGTGTGTCTAGCTTGTTTAGACACAGATTGGAAGTGTCCTTGGCTATATATTTTGGTGTATGTGGATGCAGCTGCAAATCTTTTCTTGAATCTCAAATGCTGCAGTGTATGCTGGTTTGCAATTAAGTATCTGTAAGTGCATTTGTCTGTGTGCGTCCTACATGTGTGTGCCTTTTGTATTACTTGCATTATGGGAACCAGATCTTGTAATACTCACATTGTGGAGACTCGGCCTCTGGTTCCTACAAGGAAATCACTGAATTTTAGGGTGGCAACATGTTTTAAGGTTAGGTGTTCGGGAAGTAGTGGTTATGGTTAAGGTTAGGATAAGTCTACAGGAAATAAATGTAAGTCAAGGTAAAGTCCCCACAAGGAATAAAAACAGACCGGTGTGTATGGATGCTCCCTGTGCCCCTTCCTCAGCTGGTAGGAGTGTTTAAATTTTGCAGGGTGGCCAGGGCAGCTGGTACCCCTGATTGGAATGGAAAATGACCTGGAGCCTTTAGTTCAGACCTGGCTTGCACACACAGATGCACACACACGCGCACACACACATATACAGAGGAGGTGTGTCAGTTAGCAAAGGGGGTGGAGAAATAGGGAAGACTGTCACCACTCTGCTGTGTGACTGTAATCGCTGATGGCATCCTCACAATACAGCCCACCGTGTTAGTAAGCACAGCTAGTCCACCTCAACATATAAACACACACTCACATTCACTGACTGATTTAGATTCTTAGTTTTTGTGCATTTTAGTTCAAACTTTTGACTAATTGTTTGGCTTGAATGAAGCTGAAGAAACCAGGAGAGGTCGCAAAAATAACTACTGCTTCAATTTTTATTAGAAATTTGTTCATCTCTCGTATGTACATGTAAATACACAAACACACACACTCACGCTTAATGCACACCGTCCCGTGGTCCCTGCAGATCTTAATGTGAACGAGTGTTTGTGGAGCAGAGAGATGTCATTTGCTCAGCGGCACAGAAAACATACATTCCCCTTGGACTGCTGTAGTCACTCATGGTTTGTCTCTGTCTGTTTGTCTGTCACTGTCATAGAAGCACACACACATGTAGTGCTTAAGACACACTTGGGCCTCTTCGCTGTCAACATAGTAAAGAAAGTTCACTCTGTTCAGCACTTATTTCCCTGTGGGTCCTGAACTGGCAACTGCGAGGAGCTGAGCACTTGTACTGTTAGAGGTGAGGCTGTGCTTGGAGCCCTCAGCTTCGTTCGGGTGTGTTGATGTTTCAACTGCAGGTTTCTCCAGGCTGTATTTCAAGGGCTTCCCTCACTGGGAGTTTTCGACTACATTTCTACTCTTCTGTCTGTCTCTCACTATCCACCCCCAACCTTTCTTTCTGTGTTTTTCGGGTGGCTGCCAGGATTAAGTTTAGAGCTCTATGCAACAGTCTTCCTGATTGTTCCTCACAGAGCTTCAAGAGGAGGGCGAGACCCTTTTTCAGATAAACCCCTATGTGCCAGTTTTATACTGATGAGGACCATAAGGGATCAAAGGGGATGATGCTGCAATTTGTTTCTTGCATGGCTACTTGTGCTTAGCATCTTTTTCAGCATTTAGCAAGCATGAAGGCCGCCAGGAGCTAGCTTCTGTGAAAAGGAAAGGGCAGGGGAATATTTATCTCTTTTGATTTATTCCGCTGTCCTCTTTCACCCACAAGGTTTAGCTGGAGTTCACTGTTGTACATTTATTTGGATAATTTAGTGCAGTGAATTTGTGTTGAATTCATGCTGTTTTCATCTGCAAACAAAGCAGAGATTCAAGGATTAGTTCATTAGTTCTGTTGGCTTCTGAGCTGACTGAAAAGAAAAAAATGGTACGGTCACAGGCAAGAGATGAATTAGTTTTGTTGGCATGAATATCGTTCTCTGATTCTGTGTACCAGCCCTGAACTTAAATCATCATACACTCCATTAGCACAAAATGGTAGTACCCTTTTCTTTTTCACCCTTTAAATGAAAACATTCAGCAAGAACTGTGGAAGGAATTCAGTCGTGTATTGGAGAAAAAAATCCACAGAAAATACAGGCAAGAGAAAAGTTTGTACTCATTTGAAGTACATTCTTTGACTCAGTACTGTTAGATTTAACCAAAATTATCAGCTATAATTTTGACTT